TTAAGGTGTTCTATATGTAAGATCATTTTGTCTACAAACAAGGATAATTTAACTTCATTTCCAATTTGGATGCCTTTTATTTCTTTCTCTTGCCTAGTTGTTCTGGCTATCCTTAGAAGCTGAAGTGAATCTTTTAATTTTTGATTAACAATTTATGTAAAATAACCTCTTTATACTGCTTATTATTCCCTTAGTATTCTGTTTTAATGAATCATGAGTTGGTTAGTGATGCCTGCACCACTGGGTCTGGAGGGCAGGGGTGAGAATTTCTACCAGCAGGTACTTCCTGCTCTTTTCTGTTTCCTTCCTTTCATTGTGTTGAATGTGGAATAAGTGTGTTATTGTCACCATATTTGAGATTTGCTTGAATATCTCGTGCCTCTCATATATGTGTGTGTGTGTGTGTGTGTGTGTGTGTATATAAATTAATTAATTAATTTCGAGATGGAGTTTTGCTCTTGTCCCAGGTTTGAGTGCACTCCAACCTCTACCTCCTGGGTTCAAGCAATTTTTCTGCCTCAGCCTCCCCAGTAGCTGGGATTACAGGCATATGCTACCATATCTGGCTAATTTTTGTATTTTTAGTAGAGCCAGGGTTTCACCATGTTGGCCAGAGTAGTCTTGAACTCCTTCCCTCAAGTGATTTGCCTGCCTCGACTTCCCAGAGTGCTAGGATTACAGGCATGAGCAACCATGTCCAGCCCATGCCGATCATATTTAATTATGACTTATAAAGCTGATATGCCAGATGATAAAATGTTTGTGGTTTAAAAACTTCTTACAAATCTTTGAGCGCTCCTAAGGTTTTACGTGGGAGGATATTTTTGATTAATTATATGATAAATTGGACTGTTATATTTTTGCTACCATTTCTGGCATTTCTTCCCACCAGATTTTATTGTCCCTAATCATATTATTTGACTCATTGGTAACTGGCTTTTTTTCTACTTAAGTTTTCAGTTTGGGTTATTGCTGCCAATTATGTTGCTTCATTTATTTTGACTGTCACTAAAAAATAATTGACAATTTATTCACTAAGACCTGTTGAACAATAGAGGCTTCAGGTAATACAAAACAGATGAAGGGTTTCCGGGTTGTGAGCTTGTTTCTGGCCAAGCTAGTCTGCTTTCCTTCTTTAGCAGTACGGGAGTAAGCTTTGAATCAGGTTACACAATTTAGAACAGTACTTCATCTGTTTGCTTTTGCATTTGACTGAGATTTCCAGAGTATGTGACCGGAAGAAAAACTAGGGCTTTTAACTCTGTTTTAATGCCTGTTCTGTTGCTTAGTAGCCAGAAACTTACATTGGCTGTGACCAGACACGGCAGGGGGATTCTGCTAAGCCACGCAGTTGAGGCGCCACCCCAAGTTTAGCAGAGAGGTTAAGGCTGATTTTTGTTCCTTGGATCTATACACTGTCGGCCTGCTTCACAGCTTGCTTTGGGAAAACAAGAACCTTGGGTTCTCTTTTATTTTTGTTCTTTTTTTTTTTTTAATAGAGTCTCGCGCTGTCGCCAGGCACCAGGCTGGAGTGCAGTGGCGCGATCTCGGCTCACTGCAACCTCCGCCTCCCGGGTTCAAGCAATTCTCCTGCGTCAGCCTCCCCAGTAGCTGGGACTACAGGCATGCCCCACCAGGCCCAGCTAATTTTTGTATTTTTTTAGTAGAGACGGGGTTTCACCATGTTGGCCAGGATGGTCTCAATCTCTTGACCTCGTGAACCGCCTGCCTTGGCCTCCCAAAGTGCTGGGATTATAGGCGTGAGCCACTGTGCCCGGCCTTTATTTTTGTTCTTCTTAACTAAGGTAGACAACCTTCTGGGAAAATAGATCCTGACTTTGCTGTCTTGTTCCTAGACACTCATGATGGTTTTTGATTTTAAGTAACCTTTGAAAAAACTTCTTAAATATATCTTACTTAAATCTGGGGAAAATTGTTTGTGTTAGAAGCACATTCATATTTTTTAATTGGTAAGAAAAAAAACGAGAGTTCACATACCATACAATTCACCCATTTAAATTATACAATCCAGTGGCTTTTAGTGTAGTCACAGATACTGACAGCTGTTACCATGGTCAATTTTATTTATTTATTTATTGAGACGGAGTTTTGCTCTTGTTACCCAGGCTGGAGTGCAATGGCATGATCTCGGCTCACCGCAGTCTCCGCCTCCTGGGTTCAGGCAGTTCTCCTGCCTCAGCCTCCTGAGTAGCTGGGATTACAGGCATGCACCACCATGCCCAGCTAATTTTTTGTATCTTTAGTGGAGACGGGGTTTCACCATGTTGACCAGGATGGTCTCGATCTCTTGACCTCGTGATCCACCCACCTCAGCCTCCCAAAGTGCTGGGATTATAGGCTTGAGCCACCATTGCCGGCCTACCATGGTCAATTTTAAAATGTTTTCATCTTTCAAAAAGAAACCTTGTTTCCTTTAGCTATCATCCTCTACCCCTGAGTACCCCCTCCCCACCAAATCCTGGCAGCCAGTAATGGACTTCATCAATTTTCTTGTTCTGACATTTCATATGAATGGAATCATGTAACATGCGGTCTTTTGTGACAGTCTTCTTTCACTTAGCATAATTTTTTTTTTTGAGACGGAGTTTTGCTGTTGTTACCCAGACTGGAGTGCAATGGCATGATCTCAGCTCACCACAACCTCCGCCTTCTGGGTTCAAGCAGTTCTCCTGCCTCAGCCTCCCGAGTAGCTGGGACTACAAACGCGCACCACCATGCCCAGCTATTTTTTGTATTTTTAGTAGAGACAGGGTTTCACCTTGTTGACTAGAATGGTCTCCATCTCTTGACCTCATGATCCACCCACCTCGGCCTCCCAAAGTGGTGGTGATGGTAGCACAGTGTGAATGTACTTAATGCCACTGAACTATAAATTTTAAAATTGGTAAAATGGTATTTCTGATGCTGCTTATTTTACTACAGTTTTATTTAATTTATTTTTATTTTTTTCAGACAGCTGGAGTACAGTGGCGCTATCTCTGCTAACTTCAACCTCCGCCTCCCACCCACAAGAGATTCCTCCTGCCTCAGCCTCCCAAGTAGCTGGGATTATAGGCCTAAGCCACCACACCCGGCCAGCATAATGTTTTGAAGTTTCCTGTTGTAGTATATATCAGTACTTCATTCTTTTTTTATTAAAGCTATGGTAAAATAAGGCCAAGCACAGTGGCTCACACCTGAAATCCTAGCACTTTGGGAGGCCGAGGTGGGTGGATCACCTGAAGTCAAGAGTTTGAGACCAGTGTGGACAACATGGCAAAACCTCATCTCTACCAAAAATACAAAAATTAGCTGGGCATGGTGGCATCTGCCTATAATCCCAGCTACTTGGGAGGCTGAGGCAGGAGGAATCTCTTGTGGGTGGGAGGCGGAGGTTGAAGTTAGCAGAGATAGCGCCACTGTACTCCAGCTGTCTGAAAAAAATAAAAATAAATTAAATAAAACTGTAGTAAAATAAGCAGCATCAGAAATACCATTTTACCAATTTTAAAATTCATAGTTCAGTGGCATTAAGTACATTCACACTGTGCTACCATCACCACCATCCGTCTCCAGAATGATTTCATCTTCCCAAACTGAAATTTTGTACCCATTAAACTTAAACCAACTCCCCATTTCCACCTAATTACCCTTATTTAAAAAAATTCATTAGCTCAGTCAGAATCTGTTTTCAGTTGTAAGCCACTACATTTGTAGTGATTTGTTAAGTGATAGGACATGGAGACATTTGTGTCATAGGTTAAAGAGAGTAGTCCTGAGATAAGGTGATTTTGCAGCTCACACAGCTACTATGACACCTTTATTTTTGAGATATGAGTCTCGCTCTGTCGCCCATGTTGGATAGAGTGGCACGATCTTGGCTCACTACAACCTCCACCTCCCAGGTTTCAGCGATTATCCTGCCTCAGCCTCCCAAGTAGCTGGGATTACAGGTGCCTGCCACCATACCGGGCTAATTTTTGTATTTTTAGTAGAGACAGGGTTTCACCATGTTGGCTAGGCTGGTGTCAAAATCCTGATCTCAGGTGATCCACCCTCCTTGGCCTCCCAAAGTGCTGGGATTACAGGCATGAGCCACCGCGCCCGGCCTTCTATGACATCTTTAATGTGGCACATGGTGCTCTCCAGCTTTGCCTCCTGTCTCTGACAACTCTATGATTAGTTACAAGCAAGGACTCTGAAGCTGTGTGCCTGGATTTGATTCCTGGTTTAGCTACTTACTTGGTGTGTGTGATTAGAGTATTGAGGTTTCCTGTTTCATCTGAAGGCCCTAGAGAACAGTTAATGTTGCAAGTTTTTGAAAAAGCTGCTAGTCAAAACCAGTTGACAGATTTTTAGTAACAGTAGCATAGACGATCTTGGAACTATTAATATATGTCAAAGGAAAGAGGAAGGTTTAAATATTACCTCAAGATTTTAATGGGAGGCTGAGGCGGGCGGATCATGAGGTCAAGAGATTAAGACCATCCTGGCCAACATGGTCAAACTGTGTCTCTATTAAAAAATACAAAAATTAGCTGGGCGTGGTGGCGTGTGCCTGTAGTCCCAGCTACTCGGGAGGCTGAGGCAGGAGAATTGCTTGAACCTGGGAGGTGGAGGTTGAAGTGAGCCGAGATCATGCCACTGCACTCCAGCCTGGAGCCTGGCAACAGAATAAGACTCTGTCTCAAAACAAAAAAGATTTTAACCTACTAGTTACAGAAATATAATGGAGATTTTGGATTCTAGAAGAATATGAGTTTGCGGGTATGTGGGAAGGAGGTTTCTTTGTTCTCAATTTCAGAACTTTCCCCACCTCTAATCTAGAAAAACAGATAGGGAATTAGTCTGTTTTTAATGCGACTGGTGGAGTTAATTGAGAGAATAAATTGAGACAAGATAACAGTTGTATAACCCTGACTTTTCATCCATATTTAGCCAAGAAGAGTGATTTAGCTCACCTTCAATGCAGATACTTACTGTCCTCTTACTTCCCACAGAGGTGGCCTTAGCAACATGCTGTTCCAGTGCTCTCTACCTGACACCACAGCCACTGTTGGTGACGAGCCTCGGAAAGTGCTCCTGCGGCTGTACGGAGCGATTTTGCAGATGGTGAGTCGGTAGGCTACTTTGGGAGGGGGGGCCTGTTACCATTTTAAATCCTCTGTCCTCAGATACCTGGAAAGAGATTTTAAACACTTACTGGTGTTACTAACGATATTTAAGTATATCGCTTTTACTTTAATTGGGCTGCACAACTTGGTTTGCATTCTAAGTTAATTCCTGTTTTTTAGTTATTATTTATTAGTAAACTAGTATGAATATTCCCAGTTTTACATCCAGAGAAGGTACAACGTTGGTTAAATCTTTAATAATGCTTGATGATTCTTGGTTCTACATATTGATTAAAATTTTCAACTCATATTTAGATTGTAAAATTCTAATGTGGAGAAGGTATTGTTTTTATAACATAATCAAAAAGATCTTAGTTAACAAAGTATGATCTCAACGAAGCTGAATTTAGTAACTGTTTCTCTGAGATTTCTTTAAAACTTTGAATAGTTTGTTGCAGTAAAAAAAAAAGAATTAGATTATTTACGTAATACAAAAATTTAGAAAGATTATTTTTAAATTTTAGTATTACGTAAATAATCTAATTCTTTTTTTTTTTTTGAGACGGAGTTTCGCTCTTGTTACCCAGGCTGGAGTGCAATGGCGCGATCTCAGCTCACCGCAACCTCCGCCTCCTGGGTTCAGGCAATTCTCCTGCCTCAGCCTCCTGAGTAGCTGGGATTACAGGCATGTGCCACCATGCCCAGCTAATTTTTTTTGTATTTTTAGTAGAGACGGGGTTTCATCATGTTGACCAGGATGGTCTCTCGATCTATTGACCTCGTGATCCACCCACCTCGGCCTCCCAAAGTGCTGGGATTACAGGCTTGAGCCACCGTACCTGGCCAAATAATCTAATTCTTAATTAAAGTACCTATTAAATTATCCAGTTATAGGATGTCCCAACTTGTCTGGGTTTATTATTATTATTATTATTATTATTATTAATGTCACACATTTACTATTTCATTGACCCCCAAAGAAATGTTTGGTTGATGTATTTCTTTTTTTTGAGACAAAGTTTTGCTCTTGTTGCCCAGGCTGGAGTGCAATGGGGCAATCTTGGCTCACTGCAACCTCTGCCTCCTGGGTTCAAGCGATTCTACTGCCTCAGCCTTCCAAGTAGCTGGGTTTACATATATCACTATGCCGACTAATTTTGTATTTTTATTTATTTATTTATTTAAAATTTTATTTAATTTTTGAGATGGAATCTCACTGTGTTGCCCAGGCCGGAGTGCAGTGGTGCAATCTCAGCTCACTGCAACCTCTGTCTCCCAGGTTCAAGCGATTCTCCTGCCTCTGCCTCCCAAGTACCTGGGACTACAAACACATGCCACCACATCTGGGTAATTTTTTATTTTTAGTAGAGATGGGGTTTGTTCATGTTAGTCAGGCTGGTCTCGAACGCCTGACCTCAAGTGATCCACCCACCTTGGCCTCCCAAAGTGCTGGGACAGGCGTGAGGCACTGCGCCTGGCCAAGTTGATGTATTTCTGTGGTAGGATTTCTTTTTTTTTCCTGAGACAGAGTCTGGCTCTGTCGCCTAGGCTGGAGTGCAGTGGCGCAATCTTGGCTCAGTGCAACCTCTGCCTCCCGGGTTTAAGCAATTCTCCTGCCTCAGCCTCGTAAGTAGCTGGGATTACAGGTATGCGACCACGCCTGGCTAATTTTTGTATTTTTAGTAGAGACAGGGTTTTACCATGTTGACCAGGCTGATCTCAGACTCCTGATCTCAGGTGATCTGCCTGCTTTGGCCTCTCAAAGTGCTGGGATTACAGGTATGAGCCCTCACACCTGGCCTGTGGTAGGATTTTGATACCTGTTTTAATCTTCTTTGGAAGAGCCCCCTTTTTTTTTTTGAGGCAGAGTCTCACTCTGTCACCAGGCTGTAGTGCAGTGGCACAATCCCGGCTCACTGCAACTTCCATTTTCCGGTTTCAAGCAATTCTCCTGCCTCAGCTTCCTGAGTAGCTGGGACTACAGGCATATACCATCACGCCTGGCTAATTTTTTTGTATTTTTAGTAGAGATGGGGTTTCACTATGTTGGCTAGGATAGTCTCAATCTCTTGAACTCGTGATGCACCCACCTTGGCCTCCAAAAGTGCTGGGATTACAGGTGTGAGCTACCGCGCCCGGCCTGGAAGGGCCCATTTTCATCTTAATGAAATAGAGCAATTTTCAAACTAAATTTTTTAAGAGACCAGTCTATTTCAGCTCAATCTAAAAAGCAGTTATACCCATGTCTCTGATATTTGATAATATATTTAGAAATATTAAAGTTCAAATTGGCAGTCTAGATGTTAATTCATTAAAAAAATTATCATAACGTGAAGAAACCCTTTTATTGGATAGCTTTTCCTTGACTCAGGCTGTGAAAATGGTTAAGATCTAAAAATGCTGGGAACAAGTTAGCATGTTTGAAGGTACATAGCTGTTCTACACATGTGTGCACTTGCTAAGGACATCTGATGTCACTTTGTAATTAGGTACAGATAGCTGGCATCCAGCTAGGCCCACGGTTGATCCTAACTGAAAACACTGACCCCTTGCTGTTAATACACAAGCAGAGAAGATTCTTGTGTTCACCATGCAGCTTGGTTTTAAATTTGATCAAGTTACAGTTTCAAAGTACAATTTTTGAAATATTTAATTGTGATTTTGGCACTTTTACTGATGAGCCTGTGTTTTTTGAGATAGGGTGTCACTTTGTCACTCAGGTTGTAGTGCAGTGGCACAATCATGGCTCACTGCAGCCTTGACCTCCTGGTCTCAGGTGATCCTACCACCTCAGCCTCCTGAGTAGCTGGGACTACAGGAGTGAGCCACCACGCCTGGCTAATTTTTGTATTTTTTGTAGAGGCAGTGTTGCACCATGTTTCCCAGGCTGGTCGCAAACTCTTGGGCTCAAGTGATACACCTGTCTCGGCCTCTCAAAATGCTAGGATTATAGGCATGAGCCACTGCGTCTGGCGTGTTATGTCTTGATAGTCATTTTTTCTTTGAGGACCATTTACATTCTACAGCAATTAAGAATAATAGATGCTGAAATTAACTGTGATATAAAACTATTGTTTAAATCTGATTTATGACAATTTCATTTCCTTTTTTTTTTTTTTGAGACGGAGTTTCGCTCTTGTTACCCAGGCTGGAGTGCAATGGCGCGATCTCGGCTCACTGCAACCTCCGCCTCCTGGGTTCAGGCAATTCTCCTGCCTCAGCCTCCTGAGTAGCTGGGATTACAGGCACGAGCCACCATGCCCAGCTAATTTTTGTATTTTTAGTAGAGACGGGGTTTCATCATGTTGACCAGGATGGTCTCTATCTGTTGACCTTGTGATCCACCCGCCTCGGCCTTCCAAAGTGCTGGGATTACAGGCTTGAGCCACCGCGCCCGGCCTGAACTGGATTTTAAATTGTATTTAATTTTAATTAATTTAAATTAAAATAGTCATGTGTAGCTTATGGCCATTGTATTGGACAGCTCACCTCTAGAATGTTCTGGTTTATTATATGAATCACTAGTAAATACCAGCTGCAGCATAGCCTACAACTTGGCAATTAGCCTTTCTGTAATAAATTGTCGGCCGGGTGCGGTGGCTCACGCCTATAATCCCAGCATTTTGGGAGGCCGAGGCAGGTGGATCACAAGGTCAAGAGATCGAGACCATCCTGGTCAACAAGGTGAAACCCCGTCTCTCCTAAAAATACAAAAATTAGCTGGGCATGGTGGTGCATGCCTGTAGTCCCAGCTACTCGGGAGGCTGAGGTAGGAGAATTGCCTGAACCCAGGAGGCGGAGGTTGCGGTGATCCGAGATCGCGCCATTGCACTCCAGCCTGGGTAACAAGAGTGAAACTCCATCTCAAAAAAAGATTGTCAATTGTTAAGTCTTTTTTCCATTTCTAAATTTTAGCAGTCTGGAAGAATTACCTGACAGTAGTTAAATACGATAGAATTGTCTGGAAATAAAATTTGTTTGAACAGTATTCTATGGCCCTATTTATTTCTAAGAAAAACTATTAAGTAATTAAAAAAAAGAATAAGCCAGTTAAAATACAATTAACTCTTACCAAACTAATAGAATGGAGTATGTTTTATGTATAATTCTAATTTTGAGGGGAGGCACCCTACATTTAGCTTCTCAATTATATTTTTATTAGGCAAATGTTAAATGAGTTTCATTCCTGAAGCTATATCTACTGATGAAAGGTGGAAACCATATTTGAAAGCACCTTGGATAGAAAGGGAAGTTAGGGCTGGGTGTGGTGGCTCAGGTCTGTAATCCCAACACTTTGGGAGGCTGAGGCAGGTGGATTGCTTGAGTCCAAGAGTTTCAAACCAGCCTGGGCAACATGGCGAAACCATGTCTCTGTTAAAAATTAGCTGGGCCTGGTGGCGTGCGCCTGTAGTCCCAGCTACTTTGGAGGCTGATGTGGGAAGATCCCTTAAGCCCAGGAGGTGGAGGTTGCAGTGAGCCAAGATCACCTTACTACACTGCAGCCTAGGGGACAGAGAAAGACCCCATCTCAGGGAAATAAAATGAATGATTTTCTACATGGATAATAAGCACGCCTCTGACAATACAGTTGACATAGACAAAAAGCTCATTTTTGTTGGAAAAAAGCCATTTCTTTGCTTTGTAGGTAGGAATCTATATTTTCAATATAATTATTCACTTGGTGGATTCTTAGTTCAAGCACAGTTTTTTGGTTGTAGTTTAAGCTTAGTAAACCATGAAGCCTAGAGTCTCAGAGTTAAGTGTGCCTGTTCCCTAGAAGGCATACTAGTTGCCATTTAGGGTTTCAGATACTAATGGCCACTGGAGACTGTTGGTTATTGGGAGTATTGTAACAACATGAGAAGGGGAACCAGAATCAAGAACTCGGAAAGATGGCTTTGGTATGAAAGAAGGAAAGTAGAAAGCAGGCTTTGAAGCTCCTAAGATGTCAGCCGGCAGCAGCTGCTGTGTGCTTTAGAAGCTGAGCTGCCATAACAC